GTTTAAGTTTAGTATTTGTGTTATCTTTTATCATGACTTGGTTAGTGCCTAGGGGGTCACCTAATTGCATATGTTTGTTACTTTGATACTTGCTTGGTTAAGTAGGTATGCTTTAGGTATCTTGGTTAAATGCTTATTTTATGAGTAAGTGGTTACTTCTCATATGTATGTGTGTTTTCTTTCATATCTATTTTAAGTATGTGGTTGCTTCTCTCATCTTCTTTCTTTATGAGTATTGATATGTTCCTTATATGATATCTTTGGTTCATTCTTGTTCAAGTTTGAACTAAAGTAGACCCTAGGATTGTTATCCATGTATGACAACATTAGATAGATCTCCCCTTATCCCAACTTTAGGTCCACAAGCATGACAACAAGTAGGATTGAGATCCCCTTTTGATTAGTCTTTTCCTCTTTTGCGTTCATCTAAAATTAAAAATTATTTTCTTCTAAAAAACTCAAAACACTTAATGAATAAACGATGCATATCATATGTCACAAGCCTTAATCGGTGGGAAAAGGATGAGGTAGTACATTTAAAACCTTGTTCTTTCTTTCATCCATAGTCTTTAGTATTATCCAATTCATAACCCTTTTCACAAATAAGTGTATAAGTAGTTGATGTTCCTCCCTTGGGATTCATTTGCTATTATTCACAACAAAAACACTCAACTAATCAAACTTCTTTTTTTTTTCCCTCTGGGACTTTTTCTTTTGAAAAAATTCAAAAAGGACATGCTCGTTAGCGTTGTTCATAAAAAACACACAACAAACCAAAACACCTTTTTAGGTAAACTACGGGTGCCCTGATCTCTCATTGCACGAAGTAGGTATGTAGGCACAAAGTTTCACAATCGTGGCGGGCATAACTAATAAAAACTTTCTTTTTGTATATACTCTTGCATGCATTCCCTTAGCATTACGCTTTAGATTTTTACACACCCTTTGATTAGAACAAACTCGAGTGGATTCTATAGAGTACCACACACGTGAGGGGTGCTAATACCTTCCTCTTGCATAATCGACTTCCTTACCCTTTCTCTTGGTTACGAGACTATGTTCTTTCCCTTTCTTAGGTTTACTCAGTGTTTCCTTTCCCTCTCTAGGGATAAATAACATTGATGAAGACTCTTCTTTTTCCACCTTCACGTTCGATATTTTTTGAGATGCGACAATATGGTGATCAGAATTTGATGCTTCACAAATTGTGAATTTTCGGAAGGTATGCCAATGTATGCTTCATTAACGTGTGATTCGTCAACATATGTTCTATTACATCAAGATTTTCAGAAGTTGTAAGCTGTTTGGAAGTTCTGATAATCAGACATTGATACTTCAGAAGTTGTAAACTTTTTGGAAGTATAGTAAGTCAACTCTACACCACTCAACATTCAGAGGTTGTGAACCTTCTGAAGACATGTTCTAAGACGTGGTCTAAGACATGTCCTGAAGACATGTTCAGAAGACATGGTCTAAGACATGTTTTGAAGACATGTTCATAATACATGGTCTAAGACATGTTCAGGAGACATGGTCTAAAACATGTTCTGAAGACATGCCAGAAGACATGGTCTAAGACATGTTCTGAAGACATGTTCAGAAGATATGGTCCAAGACATGTTCTGAAGACATGTTCAAAAGACATAGTCTAAGACATGTTCGAAAGACATGTTTAGAAGACATAGTCTAAGACATGTTCGAAAGACATGTTCAGAAGACATGGTCATGCAGGCAATGGTTTTTCTGAACCTTTTGATGACATGATGCTTTGCACCTTCTGGTGGTATGATCGTGATTATGGAAGAACCAAGGATTTAGTTCTGATGTTTGATGTGAGGCATCAAGACATTTACTAATCAGGTTATGATACATCATCATGTTCTAATAGCAAGCCAAATTCTAAGATGAAGACCATGCAGTTCTTGTCACACTCCGATGAGACGTCAGCAAGGAAATATTCCTTCTCTATGTTACTATCTGTATTGCAAAATTTATTTTGCGAGTCTTGGCCTCAGGGGAGACTCTGAACAAGCATAAATGAATTTTGGGTATGAACAAATTCAGGGGGGATTGGTTAGCTTTTATGAATTTGTATTTATTGGTGATTACCCTGTATGAATTGTTCTATCAAAATACATGGTCTTGTGATCATCAAAAATGGGGAGATTGTAAGAACAAAATTGGTTATGCATTTGGCCTTAAGTTTTGATGATAACTTTACATGTTATCTTAGGGAAAAATTGTGTACTCTAATGATTTCTGTCTAGTGTGTAGCTTTTTCTAAACAAGTTCTAACTCTAGTAGAAGGCGTGTGACATTATCAGGTTCTGAACTCAATAGTCTGGAAGAATACTATTTGTGTGTTACAAAGATAAGTCAATATTCAGGAATGCTTCTAGTGCAACAGTTCTAAGGAATGTTAGTAATAGTGATTCTGATCGTGACTTTGTAAGGAAGCTTTGGAGGCCTTCTAAAGCTTTGCTTATGTTGCCCCAAGCTCTAAAGATGATGAAGACGAGGTTCTGTTGAACGAGTTCTGAATATCTAAAGACATCACTTCTGAAGACTCTGAAGACAAGGGTTCTACTGAACAAGTTCTAAAGAATCTGAAGACTTAGGTTCTGAAGATTCAAGTATTGATCCTTCTACAATATGCTTCATCAACATAAAATCAGAAGCCAATGAAGACTAGAAGACAAAGATCACTAATGACTTGCGTGAGATGGTGAGTATAAAAGTACAAAATACACCGTGACCACTATTTTGCTAGGGTGGCGTAAGGACAATCCTTTTGTACTATGTTATCTACCATTCCCACCATGACCGTTAGGGACAAAACAACTAGTTTTATGTTTCCTATATTCTACCTCCAACATGTCTCTTTTTCAGCTATAAAAGGAGGACTTGGAAGAATTGGAAATCAACGAACTAGTTCTACAAAACTAAACTGAAACGCTGCACAACTCTTTTGAGATAATCTTTGTATAGCTTTGTATTTTAGTAAGGAGCTTTTGTTCATATATTAATTTCAACACTTTTGTGTTACTGTACTTAATCATTATGTAATCTGCTTGTTAGAAGCATTCTTGTATACACAAACCTTTGTAATCAACTGTTATTGATAGGTTCCTTGAGAGACTAGGGATTATTCAGAAGTCTCAAGAAGATAGTGGTTGCGGTCATTGTGGATTGACAATAAGGATCGACAAACTTGTTGGGGTTGTCAACAAGGTTGATTAGAGTTATTATGGTTGTCTGTAATCTGGAGTGATTATAGTGGATTAAGTCCTTGAGGATAAGGTAAATCACCTTGTGGGGTGAACTAAAGTAACTTAGTTAACAGTGAACCAGGATAAAAATAATTGTGTTCATTTGTTTTTATTCACTTGTTAGCTTTGTGTTTGAGTTGCAAAAAGTTTATATTTGGTGCAACCAAATTCAAACTCCCCTTTCTTGGGTTTCTCGCACCTTCAGGTACATGTTTCATTCGTGGAAACAAACAAAACAACAAACAAACAATAAATTTGAACCAAGAACAATATACAACATTGAACGAAATATGAAGCAAGCAACATGTATCCAAAAAAAGGAATGAAAGACGAAGATGAAGAGTACCGTACTTCAAAGATGAGGATGAAAACAAGAATGAAGATGTTGAAGATTTGCGATTCAAATGAACGAAGAGGGTGAATATTTGAGTTCCAATTGAACAGATACAGACTACGCTACCGCTATCGTCTCTGATTTGCTTGTTTGCCTAGGGCATCATATGAAAGAAATACATAATAAGTTTTCTTTTAATTTATCAGTAAAACCTTTAATCACAGTTGAACAATTCAATCGTAGTGAGACTTTAAATCATCTAACAACGGTTGAGTCAATCCACCATTGTTAAATCATTTTCAGTTTATGTTTTCAATAATGGACTTAAGTGACACACACTTAATGTACTCGAAAAAATCGAAAGAACGTAATTGTTGGAAATTGAAATTTATTACACATAATTTATTACCACGGTATTTAAGAACAACCTTCATTAAATAACTTTTTGTAAAATACATCGGATACTTCAACTTTAATATATTACAACAGTTTATAAAATACCATTGTAACTTTGACATTATTAAATATATATATTTTTTTTTTGTAGTAGTGTTACAATTTTTTATTTCGTTGACCAGAAATAATAATGATTTTCCTTGTCCACAAACTTTTGATGAGTTTTGTTATCAGTAATAACTGCTCGAGAAGTATCAAATCTAGGGAAATTATTTTTAATAAAAAATTCGTTATCAATTTGACATCATAGTTAATGATGCCACAACATCTACCCACTTGAAAATATAATCAACATCCACTAAAATGTATAGGTTACTAAAGGATGAAAGAAAAGGTCTCAAAAAGTAAATGTCCAAAATATCAAATAATTCAATTTAAAAAATGTTTGGTAATGAATTTTCTTGTTTAATGGAGATACTTCAAAACCTTTAGTATTTATCACAAGTTTTAACAAAGTTCTAAACATCTCAGAATAAAATAGGCCATAAATAACTAGATTGCAATGACTTTGAAACAATCCTTGTCCACCGAAATGTCCTCTATAGATTAAAATGCCCAGTTTTAGAATCAAACGGGCGAGGATAGGAAATATAGTTAGCTGTTGGGCTTAGACAGCGCACGTGGACTAATCAGTAAAGCACGTGCTCCATGTGCAATATTCAGTACCCAGATAACCCTAATCGTGACATCATCCAACGGTCCCAATTGAAAATACATTCCCCACCCGATCCAACGGATCTAATTACACATTCAATTATAAAAAAATAAAATAAAATATATTTATATTTATATTTAATAAAATTTTATCATATGTAAAGTACCCTTTTTATTTTTCAGAAAAAAGAACCTTTCCGTTAAAATTTTTATTGTCTCCTTCATTTTATCGAGCTTCTGCATCTGCGAAACTCAGTAACAAAATAAAACCCTATTTTCAAAAATCGATGATGAGAGGTTCGAAGCGTTTGGCTGTATCGGAACCAAACCAGGCTAATACCAACGAAACGACGGTAACTGTGACTTTCATTCGTCGTTTTCTCTAGCTTCGTTTTTTTCTAGCTACTTTAGTTCTCAACGATGAGATTTTTTTATTTTTTATTTTTGTTGAATTTTCTAGTAAACTTGAATGTCGTTGAAATGAATGTAATTGGATTTTTGAAAATTCTGCTTGTTTGCAATTGAGCAGTTGCTGACTGTATATTGAATGTACTGAAATTGATTTTACGCTCAAATTATTTGTTAAACTCACTTTTAGTCGGAATCAATTTTACCGAGTGTATGTTTGATTTTACGTTTAGAGCATTTACAATCGATTATGGTTAGCTAGAATTGATTCAGACATGTTTGGTTGCTCTCGAGTAGAATTGATTCTAAGTGAAGTTAGGATTTGTAGATTTTGAGTTTAAGCATGATTTTTACACAAATTTAAAATCACTCTTATATAATTTTATTCAAAAATAAATCACTTTCCCTTCAACTCATTTTTAGATTGTGTTTGGTTCTGCGGTCAAAATCAATTTTAGAGAATCAGTTCACTAAAAATTATTTTTCTTCCCTGTAGAACCAAAAACAATCAATTCACTTGAAATCAATTCTCTTCACTGCAGAACCAAATATACTGATTCATGGTTGGATGTATTTATGTAAAATCAGCTGGAGAAGTCAAAAGCTACAAATTCTAGCAAGAACTTCCAAACATGTAAAATCAATTTTACACTTCTAGAATCAATTTTTGCTCTCCCAAAAATGAAACAAACTTACATTTGAAATTTGTGTATTCTAAACAGCTGTGATGTGACTACTAACCATTTTTACTTACATCCTCTCAAGTCATTAGTTTCAGGATTGTGAGGCCGTATTGGGTATTGAAACTGACCATTTCTGTTTAAATTAAAACTTGCAGTCTTCTAGTTGGTTTTTATTGTAATCTGGGTCGTAGTGTTTATGTATTAGTTGTTACTTGTTACACTGAAAACTCTATGGTTTGAGACGTTTACATGCTCCGCCAAACTTCGTAATCAAATATCGTGTTTCATTGTTTGCGTTTTATGGTTTATTATATATTACGGGTTGATGTTCCAAGAGTTTTCTTAAATGTTATCATTTTATGATTATCTTATTTTCAAATGTCGAAAGGGGGTCGCAAAGTTTTAGTTAAGTGTTTGTCTTTTTCTGAGTGAAGCACGTGTTCTAAAGTTTGAAGATTTGCAATGCCAGAGGATGATACTTTACGCTGCCATTCCTTCTGAATTAAAGTTTTGATTTTATTTTGGATGAGAAGGAATAGTAATTCTTATTCACCAATTAAATGATGTCACCTAAATTTGCTTTAATGGTCAATATCAATAATTTTGTATATGCAGAATTTTCTCTGTGCTTTATATTTATTATCTCCATGTCTCTATGTGGAAGCTTATTAGACCTCTATTTAACATGATGCAGTTTCGTGATAAAAGAATAATGGAAGGATCTCTCTTTGATGTCCACAGGGCCGAACCATCCCAACAATTGATGGTGGCAACACCCCCATTGGATATGAAACGAGCAGAGTCTTCCCAGCAGCATGTGAGAGCTTTAAATACCCAGTTTGCGAGGTTCATCTTTTATTCAATGTCAACAAATTTGCCTTTTCTTGGTTTCTGCATTTCAATTTTTCCAGTCAATGAGAAAAAAGTTTGACCTTGATAATTGAATTTGATTCATTGTTCTTTACTTTGGTTTAGCTTATTCATTAGGGGTTGTCTCTTGTGTCACTTTTCACACACTTTAAATCTGGATATATTGAAATCCAAGTTAAAGGAATATGCATTTATATGGTTATGATTATGAATGTTGCGTTGGTTATTGTTATTCCACAAACTCTCTAATTGTTATGTTGTGTCTTTCTCACAGCTGGGTTCAAACACAGTTAAAGAATCACCCTGATGAGCTTTGGGAAGATGGTGTCAGAGATTACTTGGATCATGCTACAGGCATTATGGTAATTCTTCGCATGGTTACTTTAGCGCATTAAAGCCATGTATGCTTATACTTTTTATTTACTCAGCGTGTTTCCATATCTATAGTCAAATTGCTGGTTATGTGGTTGTGTATGCTGCAATGAAATAAGCATATGTATGCACACTATCAGATACACCTGTACCTACATATGTGAAAACACTGACATCCTACTTGAAAATTAATCATTCAGGGTTATAATAATACCATTTCTATATGTTTTACTTAGAATTGTAGTCTGTTTATTTCTACAAGGAAATGCTTTCTGTTTTTGCGCACCTTGTTTGTAGCATAAACACTCTAACCAGTTCCTTTTTCTTCAACGCATTGGGCGTCACAGCTAAACAATACTAGAATATATATGCTTGTTACTCTACTCCACGCCCTTGACTTCTTGCAACATGAATGCTTTGAGCTAGTATTAGCATGCAAACCCATTTTTTTCTTAAGAATAATGTTACTAAACATGCTTAATAAATAAGAATGGTGCAAGTCATGCATCTGCAGAGTTAAAAACATTGACCTTGTAATGTGTATTGTTTCAGGAAAAATTTAGTGATGTTGTCAACTGGCTCAAAACAAATGCCAACAACAACCAACAACAACAACCAAGTCTTATCCCACCAAGTGGGTTTGGCCTCAAAGCAAATGCAACCAAGGCAGAGAATTCTACTTCCGGTGCTGGTTCCGTTGCTTCTTTAGCTGGGAAAAAGTTTTTGCCTGAAGTAACAAACAAAGAAAATAAGATTTTTGGAGAAAAAAATGAATCTCCTCCTATCAATACTACTACTACTACTACTACTACTACTACTACTACAAGTTTTGGTAGTTCATGGAGCCCTGGAATATTTTCAAACAATCAAAACATTTTTGCATTCGGTAGGTCTCTTCTGACTTTTAAAATACACCCAATATGTTGTTTTCTCACATAATATATTAACTCTAGAATGGGTCACTCATGCAGTACTCTAGACTGGCTGCTTTTTCTGTTTAAATGCACACCATTCAATAGGCAAATTGTGTCTCTGAATATTCATTTACCTTCTGAAGTGAAAGACTGAAAATTTTGATTGTATGATTGAAATTTTTTGTTTGAAGTTTAGATGACAAATACCTATCTTAGATAGCTGAGATTTCTGTTGAAGTTATGCTAAGCTGGATTTGTAATCTAATAGTAATAAATAAATTGGAGCTTTGTGAAGAAGAACATGCTAATATTATGACGTGTCAGGTGTCCTTTATGGATGACCTCATGTCATGTTGAGAACTTCATATTGCATTTAGATACAAATATTTAAAACTACACACTGGACTCAATAATCTATTCTGCCAATGCCATTTATTTTATCCAGTTTAGTGTTATACCTTAAACTTAGAAATGAATTAATGTCACTTTTATGATATTATTTTTAGGTGAGAAGGAGGGAGCAACACTTCCCAATGCCACTTTTATGATTGTCTACTAAATTTCTGTATTTTGTTTTAGGAAATCAAAGTTCCGCCCCTTCCAACTCCAATCATAACGCTTCAGATGATGCGGATGCTGGTGAGGATCAGATGCTTTTACCTATTGCTCTTCACATTCGCCTATCATTATTAGCATTCAGCAATTACTTCATTTAATATTATTATTCAGTGATGAATTTTTTCTTTTTAAAATGATTATGTTTATGAATAAATAAAGGTTTCTTCTTGGTAGGTGGTGTTGGTAAATGTGTGATCACCTAAATATACCATGCTGTATATAGGGATGTATATTAACTTTTGTTCCTACATATTACGATTTTGATGAAAATTACCATTTCTTGGAAAGGGATATAATTTTTAATCTGAAGCTTTTATGAGATAACATGGAATCTCCTCCCTAAATTGTGGTAGAAACTTCTATTTAACGGGAAAATAGTGTTAAAGTGGCTGAGTAGATAATACATAGTGAACCCCTAGAGTACAATTACTTATCTGTCCACTCACCACTGGGTACTCAAATGGGGGTTTTCCATCATGACATGTTAACTCATTCTTGAAGCACCTAGACACGTGAATACACGTTCTTTCTTTCCTTCCTGCATTTCTTTTTCAATTATTTTCTCAGTATGCTGTTGGAATAGGTTTGGTATTAAGCAGAAGCACTGGTCTTAACCTGAGTAGTTTTTATTTAACTTTACCCAAAGGGACAATTTGTCAAAGTATTTTTAGTGGAGAAAATGGTGGTTGAGTGGTTAATTATTTTGAATTTATCACCTTTTATAATATTTGTATTTCACCTATAAACTACTCAGTGGCTAATTATTTTGGTTGTCATGCCAAGTTGATTGTCCTTGTGTTGCCCCTTATGCCAAGCTGATGGCTGAATCTGACAAACTACGATTGCTTCAAATTTGAAAAGAAGAGATTCATTTTTGTGGTTTTTATAAAGTATTTTTCTATCAGCTTCTGTTAACTTTTGAGATAAATACAAAACACTTTTTGAGGTTTTTTGTTGTTGAAATAACGTGACTATTATAAATTTCTGAACATTATAATGATGAAAAGAATATTGTTTCCTTAAAAGATGCACATGCAATTGTGCCAGCTCAATACTAAATGATTGATTTTCATCAGGATCTTGCACTCCATCAGTAAACTTGCTTTCCTTGTTTTTGACTTTGCCAAATTTTGTACATAATGATACCAATGAAAATGTCTTGTTTACTTGATCTCAGAAAACGACGAAGAGCAGCCCAGCAGCCCATCAGTGAAGAAGTCAGAAGAGAAAGGTGTTACAGTTGTACATGAAGTGAAGTGCAAGCTTTATGTGAAGGTTTGTATCTTAATATATAGGTCAGCATATTTATTTTTCTGCTCTTGTTTCATTTCAACTTGATTCGGTTCCCTTGGTATGTTCAGTCAAGTGACCCAACTGATAAGGATGTATGGAAAGATAAAGGAATGGGCCATCTGTCCATTAAATGCAAAGAGGGGGTTGCTAAGGCTACAAAAGAGTCCAAACCGACAATCATTGTTCGAAATGAGGTTTGTTAGTCTTATAAACTCTTCAGTGAATTGACCTAAATGTAATTTCTAGGCTTTTAGCTTTTTCATTGAGAATTTCACTTATTGCTTCAGTTTCTGTTACCTTTAACAATGGCAGGTAGGAAAAATTCTTCTCAATGCCTTGTTGTATCCTGGAATCAAGACAAGTGCACAAAAGAACTCTCTTGTTGCGATATTTCATACTTCGGTAAGAAAATGAAAACTTTCACATTTAGCTTAACACCTTGCAGATACTGAAAAAAAGTTCTGTATACGAAAACATAGAAAAACCCACTATAGAGAATTAATGCTTGAATGTTTAGAGAGTTGAAAGGAGGCTTGACTTGTTAGACTAGGTTACCGTGCTTGCGGACCCCAAGTTGCAGTCCTGCAATAATGGATTTGGATTTCCTGTAATTGGAAAGTCCTGAAGTTTTTTAATCACCCATCCCCAACCAGCTAGACTTAGGTGGTTTGGGCATGAGAGAGAAGTCCTGTGGATTCGGTAGTAAGAAGAGTCGATTAGATGGAGGGTAGTTAAACCGCTATAGGTAGAAGACCTGGAAAAATTATAATAAAAGGTCTGAAATAGAAGCATGGTTTTTATAGAACATTAAGGAGTATTTTGATCATTGTAGTCGACCTATTTAGTGAGAAAAAACTTGGTTGTTGTTGTTGTTGTTGCATCTCGGACTGTCTAATCAATGATCATCTTGACAGCTCACATATTCTGAATCCGATTTAACAAGTTGAAAGACCCAAGATGCATGATTGAGGCTTAGTCAAGATTTCCCAACTCCAGGAAATGTGGATCCACCACCTCTTATGTCAATGAAACATTCCTTTCAAATTAAGTGACTATTTGTTGCTTCTTCCATGTTAAATCAGGATTCTTTTTGGTTTACAAAAATACATTTTACTCTTTTGTTATTATTTTATTTCTGCTTAAAAAGTTTTACATCAGAAACAATTAAAAGGAATCAAAATAATTATCATGAAATGTCAAAAAAGTTCGGTCTCTTGAAAAATGTTCAAAACAGCCCTTTTTTCATTCATTGTTTTAGCTTTTCTATGGAGTAGTGTTTGGTAATAGCTTTTCTAAGTAGCTTTACTGCTTATTCTATGATTGAATAGCCAGCCAAAAACATGTGAAAGTTGACAATTTTGTAGGGTAATGATGATGGTGGAGATAATGATAGTGTTGTTGCACGGACATTTTTGATCCGGATGAAAACAGAAGATGATCGAAATAAACTGGCTTCAACTATTCAAGAATATGCTCCAGTATCTTGAGAGTTATGATTGTTGTGCCATCCTAGGGTCAAAAGATGCAGAGTACTACATCCTCTTCATTTTTTCCCTTTCACAAAAGTTGAATTTTCTCTAAAAAGTGTCAATTTTTGTGATTCTATGTTGGAACTTCCTTAAAGGCTGTTTGCTTATGTATCATCGAGAATCACGTAGATCAATGTCATTGTTGTTTAGGTGTGAATGTGATACATACATTTCCTTGGACCCACAGTTCTACTTTTACAATACTAATAACTAAGGCGAATTTTTTGAGTTAAGGCGAATTTTTTTATTCGGGTTTGGTATGAAAATTAGTTCTGTTTTAAAGTGAAGTGAAGGGAATATAATTTATGTGTGTTCTGTCGTGTAAAAGTGGCTGCAAAAAATTCACATATAGGAAGAATAATATCTGTACTCTAATCTGATGATTTGACTATCTTCAATAGTTAAATGCATATCTCACATCACATAATGTGTTTACAAATAGGGGTGTTATTCACTTTAAGTTGTTTTTGTAGGATTAAATTAAATTCAATCACAATTCTTAAAGAAAGTTCATTATAAAGTGTTATTTTATTACTAAAGGATGATATCATTATTGTTTACACAAATTAATTTCTAATCATATTTTATAATTTTATCATATAAAATATTATTCTGTCTAAACCACAAATAGTATTTTGTAAAAAAAATGTTTTTATTTTTGTATTAACTATTTATGGTTGTTTAACTCTAAAAAAATTATATATAGGCTAAATTCAATAAACTTTTCTGAATAGATGATTGATTTGTGGAAAGAGGAGTTTGAACCTTATATATATATATATATATATATATATATATATATATATATATATATATATATATATATATATATATATATATATATATATATTGTTGTTGTTAATGTGTAATTTTTAGTTATTATTAAGTTTTAAACTATCATATTTTATTTTGAAATTCAGTCACACCAGTAGATATTATAAATATTGTAAAATATCTTATGAATTCAAATAATATCTGCCATAACCAAAATAAGATCTATTAAATTGATGTCATAATAGTTTTTAAATTTAATAAGATTTAATAAATTTGTCTATGGATTTAGTTTTAATCTATAAATAGATCTCATAAACTATGTTAACACATTACAAGAATACTAACAAATACAGCCTTGTAAGGTGTAAGGAAGCAGCCTTGTAAGGTGTAAGAAAGTAAGCCAGTTATTTCCATGCCAAGGTAAAAATAAAATATGATTCAAATTAATGTTATGGTTCACATTAATGTCGAACTTTAGTTTTTATTAAGAGTTAAGCTTATGTTCAATTTTTTTTTTTTTAATTTTCTCTCATCACATATTATATATTGATAACTAAATAATTTTTATCATGTGATTCACACAAATAGTGATAGGAAGATTAAGATTGATTTAGAGACACTTTCTAATCAAAGCATTTCATTGGATGTAAAAGAATCGGATACTTTTGAGAAAATCAAGATGTTAGTTGTCACTATGAAATACCCACCACAAGAACGAGAATGTCTTACACTTCCCGGTAAGAAATATCAAAAACAAACTTTTATGAAATAGTTTTAATCTGGACTGGGTCTCTACTTGCTCCACAGTTAGGAGATCTAATCTAACACCTTTGTATAAGGTTCAAAGGCAAACAATTTAAGTTAGGGACCGTTGGACAACTTCCCACGTACTCGTTAGGGAACGTGGCCCACGTGTCCGCATCACTGTCATCTTAACTGTCTTTCGAAAATCACGAGTCCAACATCTATTCTCACAAAGCAGTTGACCAGGGAGGGGGGGGGGGGGGGGGGGGGGGGGGGGAGGGTCCACTTGCTGGACTCCATACACACGTAAGTCCTGACAATCTTCATTATTGGACCTCATCGTGGCCCAACAATGGGGACCTTGGCCCAACATTGGGGGCTATAAATACCCTCGCATTTGAGAGGATTAGGCATCTATTCTCATACTCATACTTACACTTGATTGCACTCTCTCTGAAACTTACTTTGGCATCAGAGTGTCTTGCAGCTATCCCCTATCTCGCTTTCAACCTCAGCTTGACGTAAGGCCTTGACGATCACTCTGGTCAGGTACGATCAGTGGCGCCGTCTGCGGGAAATTAGCTTTCCCGTCTTCATTTACCTAAGACAAAAGCAACTCCAAATTCTTGATTGTCATGGACGATCCAGCTGCCAACAACATCTTAGACACCCATCTCGCCGACCCCAACAACAATGTCGTCGACAATGTGGGCAACAACAACAACAACGGAAACGACGACAACATGGTCGATCTCATGCAGAACTATCGATACGGCATGATTGCCTCTTCCTCGTCACGCTCTCGACCAAACGAGGGCGCCCATCCGCCCCAAAACTACGAGCCAAACGCTTTCCAGGAGGTCCTCTTCCCTCCGGGCGCTGATGCCACGACAATGGCCCTGTTCACGGCCATAAACCAGACGAACTACATGATCTTCTCGCAAGGTGAGCGATTAAGGGAGCTCGAAGACTCTCTTCGAGCCCCTAGAAGATATAGAAGACCTGACACTCCACCTCTCAGGATGAAGACCGCCTTCAACCTCCCCCGCATAGACACAGACGGGACAGGTCGCGAAGCCTCTCTCCCCGATGGACTAGACGGCGCTCCGTGCTGGAGAGAACCATGCCCGAGGATATCGGGAGACGCGGCCTCACCCCCATGCGCAGGGAACAACCTTCCCATGAAAACAGAAACATGGGTAACATAGAAACACATCCTCGACCAAGGGATCCTCCCCGAGGCCAAGGACATCGCTATGACCGTCATTACAACCGATCCCCTTCCCACTCCCCCTGCAGGAGCGACGAAGACGACCCCCATGGTCCCTTGTTACAGACAATCATGGAGGCGCCCATTCTCAGGGGCATGGAGAAACCTCCCCAACTGAAGGAGTATGATGGCATTGTTGACCCAGTCGACTACATCGATGGGTTCGAAGCAATGCTCCATTATCATAACATCGCGGGGCCAATCAAGTGTCGGTTATTCCTTACGACTTTGAGGAAAACTGCGATGGACTGGTATAAAAATCTCCCCCCAGGGTAGATCACCTCCTGGAGGAACTTGAAAAACCAGTTCATAAGCTCCTTTACAACGTCTCGTCGACACCCGAAGACTGAGGCCACCCTCGAAGCTATCATCCAAAAAAGCGACGAGACCCTCAGGAAGTTCATAGATCGGTTTAATCGCGAGGCCATCCAGGTCTCCTGTATCGATCACATGAAACAGTATCTACTCGAGAGGGGACTTCTCCCGAGCATGGAGTTCAGGAAGGCCATTGGCATCGAACCACCCCGGACATTCAATTATCTCCTCGAAAAGGCTAGGGCCTACATGGACTACGAGGAGAGGGAAGCGACCAACAAATCCCGCGACCCAAGGAAATACGGACCAACCAACGCCCCTCGACACCAGGACGTAGCCCCTTCTTGATGAACGAGCGAGAAGATGAGGGATGACAAACCACGGGATCCCCGCGAGCATAGGGGGCCCGCAGTCTGATTCACCAAATACACTCTGCTAATAGCTTCCCACGAGCGTATCTTGGCGGAGTGTGCTAATATCGACTTCAAGGACGGCGACTTCAAACATCCTCGCTCTGCCCCTGCAAAGCCTAGGGCTGACATAAGCAAATATTGTCAGTACCACCGGAGCCACGGGCATCTGACCGAAGACTGCATCCATCTCAAAGACGCCATTGAAACCTCATCAAGGGTGGCAGGCTCGGGAAATATCACCACAATGATTCCCCTCGCCGGGATGCTCGCGAAATAAGAGAGGTCGAGGAAGACACCCGACCATCGGATGAAACGGCCCCCATCCAAATAACCTTCTCTATTACAAGGCCGAAGGACTTCTACGTCCCTGATAGACACGAAGAAGAACCTATGTCCATGCACAGTAGGTGGGAAAGATTCCCCTCCGCCATGGTTATAACTAGCGGGGGGTTCAATGACATCTCCATAAACTCCGTAAAGAGGAAGCTCGACGAGTTAGTCGACGCAGCCCCGACTCAAGCAGTGACATTTGAGAATGTCAAGGGCGGATCAGAGTCGATCACGTTCTACCTCAAAGAGTTTCCTGGAGGGGCCCTAACTCAAGCATCCCTCTTCTGGTAAGGGAAAGAATGGCTAATTTTGACATTCACCGCATCTTAATCGACGAAGAGAGTTTCGTCGATGTTATGTACAACCATCTCTTATGAACCTTGTAGCTCGATGACACCCACCTTTCACCGTACGTGGGGTCCTACCTGAAAGGCTTCAATGGATCAACCTCTAAACCATGGGGGTACATGAAGCTCTTTGTCACCTTCGGGGAGGAAATCGCCGCCCGGAAGGTCAAGGTGCGATTTCTGGTCATCGACTTCCTGTCTCTCTACAACTGCATCCTAGGAAGACCACCGCTGGCCGAATTGATCGCTGTCCCCTCCACCGTCCATCTAAAGATGAAATTCTACACGAGGAGGGGACGCGTTTCCACCATCCATGTCGACATCTCAATTTCCCGAAGATGTTTCAATGCAGCTTCAAAGGGACAAAGTACGGTCGACATTGGGGCCTAACCTGCTAAGAGAGCTGCTACTGCTTGACCTGAGCCACTGCCCGTTAAGACAGAAGAACAACGGGTTCCACCCGAGGTCGACTCCATCTCGCTGGACACCCGTTTCGACAAGGATGAAGCACCCAACAACGAACATGAACTCCTCTGACCAATTGCGAACAAAGACTTTGAGTTTGTCCCCCTCGGTGAAGACCATCACAAAGGCGTGAAGATCGACACCGGACTCCCCGACCTGGCGAGGAAGCAGATCAAAGCTTGCTTGAGGGAGAATGCAGACCTGTTCGCGTAGAGCGCCGCAGAGATGCCCGAACTCGACCCTGAGATCACCTGTCACCACTTGGCCATTGATCTAGCCGCTAGGGTAATAGTACAACAT